GACCTTCGAAAACGCATAGAGGCGTTCGAAATGTGGACATACCGACGCATGCTTTCTATAAGCTGGCAGATGATGTATTTCTGTTGGCGCTATAACAACAAATACTAAAAAACAGAATAAAATAAAAAAATATTTAAGGGGGGGCTGCTATACAACTAACGAGAGGCGGTGGCTAGGCTAGGTGCAGGTACTTACCAATTATTTTATTATATTAATAGTACGGAACCCTTCGTGCGCGAGTCCGACTCGTATTTGGCCCGTTTTTTTATCCACTTCCTCTGATCTAGGCTGAGATCATCCTCTTGTGTTGTACGAATTGATTGGCTCCTTACGTATGAAATTTTCGCTTTTTAATACCGGCTAACGTGTGGTTTGCCACTTTTCATTGTACCTACGTAGAAATTCATAATTTAAACGCATTTTACGACTATGACATAGGTACTATGTCATAGTCATAAAATGCGTTTAAATTATGTATTTCTACGTGTGGTTATATGTATACACATATTTTGGATCGATGTAATTTATGTTTGTAGGTACATATTTTAGATCAATTGTAACGCCACGCCACGCCGAGACAAGCCATGCCAAGCCAAGCCAAGCTACGCCATGCTATGCCAAGCAATACCACGCCATTACAGTGAAGTGCCGGAAACATTGACTTAGCGCCACTGTTGATTATTGTGACGTCACATCCACCAACTGTCAGAAAAATGTTTAAATACCCATTCTGAGTGTTACAAAGGCGGAACTCTGTCCGTTTGTGTATTAATTAAACTGTGGTTGCTTTCAATAAATAGTTTTAATATTATAGCATAGCAATATTAACATCCGTTTCACAATGAAACAAAATGACACAGATCGCTTACCACGAAAATCAATAATTTTAACTTAAATTACTCATCTCAATTAATTTAAATCTTCGCTAACATTTCTATTTTTCTATTTGGTACGTTTCCATGATGTGAACGTCATTCCGCCTCGAGTACTATTCGTACCAGCACCGAATTTGTACCAATTTCAATTAGCATGTGGCGGCAACACTGCCTTGTACAGAAGGTCTCGCACTTGTTTATTGTCTCAATCCTTTTAAATACAGGCGACTATTGTAAGTAACGTCGTTTTCAATAAAGAAGTGATTTTGTAATTTAAGAGGCAGCAGGAGGTTTGAGAGAGGTCTCTACATTAAGATTATTCCGTGGGGTTTTTATTTATTAAAAAATGTTATACCAGAAAGGCAAGTGGTTCACCTGATGGGATAACCCACAATACCAGCAGGCTAGCGAGTGCATTACCAATGATTCTTAAAAAAGTTTTGTATTTAAGATCAGAAAATATTATTGTATTTTTGGCAGTATTATTAAGTCTATCTCTATGGTAATGATACAGCACTTCATATTTCCTTTGAAGTCTTTGACTCGATTACTTTGTAAAGTAAAATAAAAATTGCCCCTACATGTCCCACTGCTGGGCAAAGGCCTCTGGTACAAATGGCATTAGGGTATAGTCCATCAGGCGACCCCACCAGAGATTGGCAGACTTCACATATCTTCGAAATATTTTTTTATTATTATTTAGAAAATATGCAGGTTTCCTCACGATGTTTTCCTTCACCGTTGAGCATGTAATGATTCAGCACTTGAACACTTAAAATTAGAATTAATAATGTCATTGCTGCTGGCTTCAAACTTGGGTTCCTCGAATACATTAAATTAAAAGGGAACGCCCGGACACTGAGCTATCACGGCAATTTATCGCAATAGATAGATATATTTATTTTTGTACTCTCACATTTCAATCGACATCCAAAGAGGTATTAGAAAGCCTAAACAAATAATATAGCAAACAATCTGGTTTTATATTACTGAAGTTCGTTTCTAACTAAAATATATAAATTATTATTTTACGATGGTAGGGCCACGCAGTAGCCTCGGCTGTTGCACGATGTTTGCCCATCCGGGTAAGTACCACGACCTCACAGAAGACCAGCGTAAAGTGGAAGTATAACAAATACTTTCGCGTTTCATCTGGTGAGTGAGGTAGCGGGAGCCCAATTTTCAAAAGGTTGTCAACGCATCTGCAACTCTCGGGTGTGGCAGATATCCATGGGCAGCGGTATTCACTTAACATCGGGTGAACCGTCTGCTCGTTTGACAACTTTTCGCATAAAAAAAATCATGATTCGTACAATTATGCTATGCTGCAAGAGGCATAAGTTTATTATTCAGATAGCCTTGCAGTCATAACACTATCAAGCGGATCGATTGCCATTCTAAGAATCCGCGTTGCATTAATTAGATGAAATTATTGCGGGGAAAATGGCCGCGTCGCGTGATAATACGCGCGAATCACGCGTCACGCGGATTTCGACATTCGTCGTCGGTGAATGAACGAATGAACGATTCAGTGGAACGATAGCTAATTATTGATAAAAGAAAATACCGGCCAAGTGCGAGTCGGACTGGTGCCCGAAGGATTCCGCACCATTATCTATAAATACGGCAAAAGAATCATATCTGTTGTATGGGAGACCGACTTAAATATTGCTTATTCTGTTTTTTAGGACGGAAAGCCGAACGGTTTTAACAGAAATACATCATCTGTGAAAATTTCAACTGTCTGACTATCACGGTTCTTGAGATACAGCCTGGTAACAGACGGACAGGCGGACAAACATACAAACAGACAGACAAACTGACAGAGGAGTCTTAGTAATAGGGTCCCGTTTTTCCCTTTGGGTACGGAACCTAAAAACTGAATAATAAGGTTAGGCGACCTGGCCCTTTTCTAGCACGCAATTAGAAACCCCTAACTAGGAAACTAAAGTGCGTTCGTGACATCTTGACATAATCATACCTAATTACTACCTATATATTTAAGTAACAATCTGCTATAAGATCGCCTGCCAACCAACGGCTTCATTGATTTTTTCATAAAATATTCTATTTAATTTTTAATCTACATTTATAAGCATTTTTATATAACCAATAACAAAAAAAATATTGTCACACGTCCGTTATTTGTCTGTGACGAAATCTATGGTATTTATAATTACGCTACATCAAATATTTCGTATTTAAATGGTGGTGACGTCAGTCATTGTTTTTATTTTCGCTCGCGGCAACATCTGCTGTTCTTCCACGGGTAACTTTATAAGGGCCAAATCAGCTGTTCGAGTGTTATGACATTAACTCACGGCCGTAGAGCCATAAACGTTAACGTAAACAAAACATACTTATCAGGGACTGCCTACTTTTGTAATCGCTACAATTTTAAAAAGTAACTTGTTTTTAACCGACTTCAAAAAAGAAGGAGCTTTCTCAAATCGACTTTTTTATTTTTTTTTTATTTTTCTTTATGTGTGTTCGCGAATAACTTCGTCGTTTATAGACCGATTTTGATGATTGTTTTTTTGTTGGGTCAAGCATTTGTATGACGATCAGATAACTGTTCCGGTCGTAAAAAAACCTATCGAATATCATTAATAACATGATTCACATATTGTGGCGACCCCACAAAGCTGTGATAAGGACAGGAGATAAAAGAAGAGGTGGCAAATAAGCTGATCCTTCTCCTAATATGAGATCGCTGTTGCTCATGGACATCCGTCCATGAGACCTCAGCGGCTTCACCAACCTTCAGTGTTGGCTGCATTCATTTTCATTACATAGTGTCGCAGGGCCACATAGCAGCTTCTGCTGTTGCAGGAATGGGCAGCCTCGTCCAGGGAAGTACTACGGCTTTAAAGAAGACAAACGCGAATAAGAAGACTTCTTATTTCTCCTGCCCTTACCCCACCACTACGTGGGGTCGGCACAACATATCCATCATTTATTTTCGGAACCATGTTGTTATTACAGCTTTTGGCTATTGGTACTACTTTTATGCATATGATAAAGTGGCAATTACTTGGTCTGATAAGACCTGTTTCACGTTCCTTATTTATTACAATACTCAGTGGGGCAATAACTGCGTCAATCTTTTCGATTGCACCTATGTGATTGTTTCACCACTTTACACGTTTCGGTATTTTTTAAGCGTTGTAAAATGTTGTAAATTGTAAAATGTGACGATTAAGTATGTAGATTACATAGGATTTTCAACAAATACCGCTCTCAATATGAAATAGATTTTGGCTACGAGTTTTACTGCCTAATTTCTTAGTGCCCAGTTTCTTAGCGACTGCTTGGAAATACAGTGTATATAAATACATACAAACACTTAAGATTCATCAATAACTCAACCTCATTATCACTCCACCTGACCCACTAAACGAAGCGACACTCCTAATGTTCAGCGTTACAAAAACTCGCACCGCTTTTTTACAGTTCGTGTAAAACCAACAGACCGTAAGCACTGTATTCATTACTAAAACGTGGCTCCGTTGACGCAGCTACATGGCATGACCAGCGGGTTACGCGAGTTCGATTCTTATGGAAAATGGATTTTATTAAACACAAATATGTTTTAGGATCAAGATATTGAAGCGTGTTGAACTCACTGTGGAAACTTATGCAACAAAGTATGGCTTTGTGGAACTGATCGAATGTTCTTTCAATGCTCAGCTTTTTATACGGTACGCGTACTACGCAAAGAATTGATTATTTACAATCACCTCTACAGAGATTTTGAAGTTAATTTCGTAATAATCGATACTACACATTTTTTCTTTTCGTTTTTTATAGGAGTAGGTGAAAAATGAGCTGGCACACCTGATGTTAGATGATAACGGCCGCCCATCGACATAATTTGCAACACTCGTCGAGATGCGTTGCTAACTTTTAATAAAGTAGACCCCGGCTACCTCACGTGGCGGCTATCACTTAACGTCAGGTGAACCTCCAGCTCACTTGCCATATCCTCATGTTTGTTACGTAAGACCCCTGCCATTCACGAACCGTTTTAGAAATTCTTTTTGGACTCTGTTCTGTTTAACTCCCACGTGTTAACTCCCAACGCACCAAAAGAAGTATAACTTCGAGGAACATGAAATCACCCACCTTTGCGAGGCTCAGCTGATTGCACGCTCCGTGTCTCGGCCGTCGTCGACGCTCATTTTTTATCGGACCCGCGGTGCGTGAACTTGGCTGCCGTTCCACGGTACTTCCCACTGGTGCCGTGTCGACGTCAGTTCCGCTCCGTCGCTGCGAAGAGAATCGGAGATTTGAATGATACGACTGGTGGAGCACAAGTTGAGGTCACACGAATCATGGGGCCATGTGATGAAGCAGTAAAAAGAGCAACTGTTGAGTTTCTTGCCGGTCTCTCCTCAACAGAAACTGCTTTCCGAACCGGTGATACCTCACGAACTCATGTATTCATTTTTATGTAAAATTCGACGTTTAATAATAACTCGAGAGCTCCTTTTGATTGAAGATATTTTGATTTTTAATGTGAATTTGAGCAAACAGTGCATGACCTCTGGACTCTACGAAATTTATCAACTGGTAGTACTGTAGATGTATTGAATGTAAACGCAGTGGATGGATGGGGAAGTCTCGCAAAAGGTTCAACCAACATAATATGAAGACTCGGCTAAGAAAAAAATATTGACACTATCGGGTCACATAAAACTCAAATGCTTTACACTTGAAACACAGTTACCAATAATCGCACGTAAAATAGAGTTGGATGAACAATGACTCCATTCCGAAAATTATTCTCTATGATAAAGTAACAGCCTATAAATGTCCCACGGCTGGGCAAAGGCCTACTCTATACAGAGGGTATCAGGGCATAGTCCACCACGCGGCCCCACTGCGGATTGGCGGACTTCACATATGTTCGAAATATTTTTTTTTTGTTATTATTTCGAAAATATGCAGGTTTCCTCACGATGTTTTCCTTCACCGCGGAGCACGTGATAAGTCAGCACTTAAGTTAAAAACTTGGTTGCTCAAGTATATTGAATTAAAGGCGAGCGCCCGGACACTGAGCTATCACGGCTTTCTGTATGATAAGAATTAAAAAAAAAGAAAAATATTCAAGGGTCTGTGCGCATGAAACTAATTGATGTCAACTATATCATTATCCATTTAAATAAAATTTAATTCATACTTAGTTATTGGGGTTGCACATTTTAATGTCTGTTAACTCCATACCTTCAGCAAAAGTGTAGTTGTGGATTTTTGTACATGACAGCCTACTACTACTCTGAAACCAATCACTGCCCGCCAATTTAATTTTTATTCGAGCACTATCTTCATTAAACATTGGAAAGCTAAATTATTAGGCCGTTGTCTTTCGTTTAGGCTTGCGTCGCGTGACAGAGAAACATAAATCCTTATTAATTGTCTTGCTTTGTGTTCCCATTTGTCTAATAATTGTCGTCTTAAGGGCTGGGGTGGTCTAGCGGCCGAATATACGACCTTGGGCATGTCAAAGTAGATTAGATTAGCGAACTTTATATATAGGATTGGTTCGACCATGATTTAACGTGGCTGATATCACAAAAAACTATTTGTAACTTTCATGTTTAAAATTATTATGTGTACAAATTATTAAATAAATGTATCATATTATTTTATATTGACCTCTATACTGTTATGGTTATGACAGTATTTATAAATCTGCTATAACTATTTGTCATTGAAAAGGAAAGTTCAGAAATAGAATTAGATTTTGATAACTCCGTGGCATAGTTGCCAAGGTAATTGGATTCGGCGTCGAGGGTCGTGGGTTCGATTCCCACACGGGACAACTATTTGTGTGACCCACAGATAATTGTTCCGAACCTGAGTGTTTGTCTGCGTGAAATTTATGTTTGTAAAACGTCCTTACAACACAGGATAATGTTATCCTAAAGTAAGGGCAATGTTTCTTTAAAAAAAAAAAAAGAATTCGTTCAGAATACATTAAAGCAGGACATTAAAAAACACGTGTGATCGAAAGTTAATTTATTTACTTATAACTCATCTTCCAACTTCTGTAATCGGAAGATTAGAGCAAGCCTTCATCTATTATTTGTATCGTTCCCTAACGCGTAAGAAATATATTGGCACACTCTGCCTGCCCCCATCTTCCAACCAAATTACAATAATATCTTCGTGGCAAAGATATGAGACAGAGTCTCATATGATGACAAATGTCTCCAGGTGAAGAAGACATGAGTTTCTAGCGAACTGCAGCATTTGCCAATGAATTGTCTTAATTTACTAACAGTTAGCAGAGCCGTGATAGTTACAGAGCCGTGATAGCTCAGTGTCCGGGCGTTCGCCTTAATTCAATGTATACTCGAGCAACCTTGAGTTCGATCCCCGGTGCCGGCACCAATGAAGTTTTTAACTTTAAGTGCTGAATTATCACGTGCTCCGCGGTGAAGGAAAACATCGTGAGGAAACCTGCATATTTTCGGAATAATAACAAAAAAAAAAATGTATTTCGAAAATATGTGAAGTCCGCCAATCCGCAGTGGAGCCGCGTGGTGGACTATGCCCTGATACCCTCTGTATAGAGGAGGCCTTTGCCCAGCAGTGGGACATGTATAGGCTGTTACTTAACTTTTTTTTTAGCAAGATGGCAAACAAGTACTTGCCACTTGGTGTTAAAAACATTTCTGTAATACCAGATTTTGAGTTTTTGCTAAAGTTCACACACACACAAAATATCCACCAATAAAATTAGTATGATAAGTCAACATTTTATAACGTGATAATGCGGCCCTCTAGGTATATTGAGTGAACAGTAATTATGCTAATTACTCAGTAATGTCAAGCTCTTTACTTGTTTTTAATCATACCACGGATCGAAACATGGGGCTCACAAAAACGGCAATAACATGATTTATGCATCACTAGTGTGCGCATATTAAGGTATGTCTACAGACTGGGTAAACATTTTCATCGATTTTTTAATTCATTGATCATCGGATGACATTTTGGTTCTCAGTCTTAGCGACTCTGAAGCTTAATAATAATAAAATCCCCGAAATTACTCAATTATAATGATCGATTATAATTATGTACATAATTAAGTGCCTACTATTCGCCAGCAAAGCGGATATTTGAACCGAAAAACCTACGGTCAACGACTATAATGGATAGCTGGGAGCAGTTCTGGAACAGGTGTATCGGATTTTGTGATCTTACCAGAGGTGCCAAACGCCTCAGGCCAAGCTACCGAATGTATTATTGCTAGGAATAGGGCGTACAATATTTTTGGTTTGTTAAAGATATTTTTCATTTGTTTTATATTTTAAATATGTATTTGTGTTCTTTTGCTTTACTGAATTATATATAAGTATTTTTTTAATTTCTTTTATTTTTTGTTAATTTTAGTTTTTCTTTCTCTTTTATTGTGTGTGCTTTTTTTGGTAAATAAATGTATTTTCTCTCTTTCTTTCTTTCTTTCTATTTTGTATGTAAAGGCATTTTGTCTAGCGAGAACCAAGGATCTGCTTTTTTCAAAACTCCCTGTGCAAAGTCCCCAACATAGTGAATGTTTAAAAAAGAACATGTTTTATCATGTTTCATTATTTTCGTATTGCACGAAAGAGTCTTTGCAAAGATCGCACTTGATTGAGATGAAGCTGAATATAGTTCGAAATAACAAAATATAATATTTGTGCATTTTGATATACGCCAGAAGCGAAAACAGAAGTTACACAGAAATGTCCCAATGAAAACAACGGACGTGGAAACCCCAGCCATTTAATTCACATACGCGTTTTTACTCGCAATAAATCGACTTTGAACGAAGGCAGTCTTGAACCCTTTAGACATAATTGTTCGAAAGCAAATTAAGTGGACATGACTTGTCGTTAATGTCGCATAATTTTTGCCTTGCGTGCATTGTTTTTTTTTTTTTTGGAATTTTTTTTAATAATTGTAAAATAGAAGTTTCAAAGACGTGAGAAAATGTACCTTTACCGGGCAGTATAAAGAACTAGTCGGTTTAAGATTTAAAAAAAACTGACTTATATAGACGTATATTGATGGAAGTCCATAGATAATTGTAGTGCCTTACATGTCCCTAACTGCATATTCATATAACCAAGTATCTTGTCTTTACTTATTCATGATTTTTTATCAAGGAGCCAACTCTTAAAGGCCTCAACTGGTGGTAAATTACCTCACCAACATCTCAACGCAACAGTTGAAGTTGAAGAACAGTTTCAGTAAATAATATATTTTGGAAGGTCCTGTTGATTGCACAGAGGATTCGAACAAACCCAAGACGCGTGGTGAAAACTCAAGTTGGTGCAATGCATCGAAATGGCATCGGTGGTATTTGCAACGCGATGCACAGATAGAATTTTACCGTTTCAAATTAATATTGTAGTTAATCGTTATGAAGTGATTGTGAACATTTTAAAATGCTAGGAGATGCAATGTCTCTCTGCAAAGCCAAAGAATTAAGCGAAGACAGGACTCGACAGCACTGTCAACAGCTTTACGCTACATGCAGTCAGGTGAAAAATCGCAGTCGACTTACTTTAAACTAAAAAAAATGTGTGTACTTACGTACGCACCTAAGAAGTTATACGTCTTGAGCGTAACAAAACTATTAATTATCGCTATCGAAAAAGACATCAAATGCAATTAATAACGGTTTAATTAAATAACTTGGAATTATAGGTAAATGTTAAAAAGTTGCTATGGTAAAATAATAAATATAATCATGTAAGTACCTTAAGTCCAATGTCCATGTATTCATGCCCTAAATACGTAAATGGTTAACTGTATTGAAGACGAAAGAGTTCTTTTATTATACGCCTCCGTAGGAGATCATAGCGATGACATCTATTACCAAGGAGCGGTTGCAAGTAATTAAACTAAGCTATCAGCGGTTCCGTGGATAATCCCGTTTTTATCTTATCGTTACTTTAGACTTTCTTAGAATCTCGCTTATATGAAATATTCATAGTTTATCTATCCGTAATAAAGTTCGGTATTTTAAAATACCGAACTTATATTTGCAGTTACTTTATAAGCAAAAATAGTTACGGAAAATTATCCTGATTTAAATATAGTAGGGTTGATCTTAATAAAGTGGAGGCACGTAACATTCGGCTGTTGCACTGCAGTAGGCTAACACGTCTTGAGACGTACCACAGCCTAAAAGAAGACCGGCATGAATAGGTGGTATTATACTTTTGCGCTACGTCTGGTGAGTGACGTAACTAACCCAATTTGAAGAGGTTGGCAAGACATCTGCAGCCTCGCAGGCGATAGATGTCCATGGATGACGGTATTAATATTAAGTAAACACCAGGTGAACCACACTAATTATTAACCTGTTTACCACCTGTTACATCAAGAAACCCATCTGATACTACAATTAGTATGTCATACTTATACCGATTAGGAAACGATTTTTAATTAATAATATATACATATATATAATTTATAATTGATACAGTGAAAATAAATTTGAATTGAGAATCGGACAAATTTTGTCCTAGCATTTCATGCCGCACAGACACCCTAGCAGTGAGTGTTGGGTGCAGTTGCCGTCTACTAAGCAAACATTTTATGGGTACTTCCTCGCTACACCCGCCTGATGTCATCTCGTCACTTTAGGAATACACACAAACGACGAAAGCTTTCTGGCTAATTTACCTATTCATGTCTTGTACGCTTATTAATTTATCGTTAACACTATAACTGCTTAAAATCCGATTAAAATTTAAGCCGAAGCTGGTAGAATTACTAAACGAACCACATGGAAAAAGTAATAAAAATTTAAAGTCTAAATGTCAAATCTATGGCCAACGATTCCATCTATAAAATCCTATTGCTATGTATTCTAATAAGCTATTTCTATATATGTATAGAATCATTCAATAACAGTATAATGTAGCAATAAAACAGCATCCAACAAAATAGAGTATTTAATTACGCACCATTCTAAAATGACGCTTTCATTTTGATATCAATGCATATAATTCTTAGACGGGGCGAAACACTTTCTATGCATAGCACAACAATAAAACATAGTTACTACTATAATGTTAATATTTTATTTTTAATAGTGGCCTATAAACTTTGTAGTTAATACGCAGCTATACGGAAATTAATCAAATAACTAACAGACTTAAGTCAATATCAAAGCCAAAGCTACGAAAACGACCCGACTTTAAATAAAAATAAAACAAGTATAATTTTTAACAAAAAAAAACGACTACAATCAACATTGTTAATACCTATAACATTCAAACGGCCCTCGACTGGGATGCCATCATCAGATCCGGGTTTCCTTATCATTGTACCACCTTTGGGATATCTCCTCTCCGACAAAAAAAAAATCATCAAAATCGGTTCATAAACGACGAAGTTATCCACGAACACGCATAAAAACAATAAAAATATATACGGTCGAATTGAGAAACCTCCTCCTTTTTTGAAGTCGGTTAATAAGCCCAACTAGCTTCGCGGTATGAGCATTCCGTATAAACCTAATTATGTTATGATGCTGTTATTCACTTACGTGTATATTACCTATTATTTATTATATTACCTATTATAGAACCTATCTATTATGAAAATTTGCTTCTAGCCAAGTGTCACCATTTTATATCAATGAGACGTGCCCAACACACATTTCGATGAATTTTCTAGGATCAAAATATGACGTAAGCTGCCTTATCTCTTGACCGCATTGCCACTAACTCATCACCAGTGCCCAACAGTTTTTATGGATACAAAATCTTCCACGTCGAATAATTTCACAGATAATTAAACAGTTAATGCAACTATAGTATTCAAGTATTTTAAAGCGCGGTTTGTTACTTGATATGTCAACTTAATTACGTAGCATCACGAACGTAGAAAGCGAATTCTTGAGCGGACTTAATGACTTAATGAGGCATTCAAATGGAGGACCACATGTACGACTAGTATTATGAAATAACCATACATGCATGTACATAATTCTCATAAGGCATTTAAAAAAATATAGTAGCAGTCTATATTTAATATGTTCCACTTCTGGAGAAAGGCCGCTGTACGGAGGGTATTAGGGCATAGTCCACCACGAGACCCCACTGAGCAATGGCAGACTTCACATATCTTCGAAATGTTTTTTGTTATTATCTCTAAAATATACAGGTTTCCTCACTATGTTTTCCTTCACCGCTGAGCGTGTGTAAGTTCACTTAAAATTAACAGTTTCATTGATGGCAGCACCACGATTTGAACTCTGGTTGCTCGATATTGTTAAATTGAAAGTGTCCGGGCCCTATATATGACAATGTATTTAACATCACAAGAATGCTAAGATCTAAATGAAAATGTGTGTAAAGAATTAATGATGAACTTTTCTCACATGAAAGAACTCTTAGTAACAGTTAAAATTAAGTTAAATGTTGTCAACATTTAACTTAACTTAACTGGGCAACAGTTTTTAAATACTAACCAAATACATAATCATATATAGTCTATATTTTGCTACTTGTAACTTCGTACGTTACGTCATATCCTGGAATGGCCTATTAGTAATGTAATCTTATCTCACAAGAATGGTACATATTTGTTCGTATATTCCTAAGCCTAGATAAATGCATTAAAGTTTCAAAATAAATTATTATAGTAAGACCCAATATCACCATACTTTCTTTATTGAATGTGATTTCAAATATACATTAACGCGCTGTTAAGGAATGGTAAGATCATTACTACGCTTGTGACTCAAATGATTTAATGTGCTTTATATTGAACATATAATATATATTTGAAGAGCATTGTGATTTTAAAAAGTTGGTTAACTAATAACCGATTTAAATTAATCAACTTATTTTAAAACACATAAATGTTAATGACCGAAATTTGTTTAGTACACATCTACGACATCGGACGTTTTAGATGTCGACGGTAATCACTTAACATCAGGTGAACCGCCCGCTCTTCTACCACTTTCACTAAGAGCTCACGAGAGCTGGATTTAAATAAAATGTGCCCCGGCTACCATAATCACCAGACGTAGCGCAAAGTATATCAGATCCAATTCACGCCGTTCTTCTGCGTGGTCTGCAAAGCGAAGACTGTTGCGTAGCCCCACCGCGTATTACCGTACAACATCTAAACCCATTCCGCTTCGTGCTCTTGTACGGAACGGACGTCGCTCTAACACGGAGGGCACATGCCACCCGAATTAGACGCCACTCGCAACCTCGTTTGCAATTTCAATCTTGTGCAAATAGTGCAGTAGTTTAGTGTTAGTGTTGTGCTCGTAGGCAGGTTCCTGTTTGTAAGTAGAATCCTAAACACACTTCTCGGCTCAGAGGCGGCATTGTTTCATTTATTAACTGTGTGCTTGTTGCAATAGGCGACAGCTAGGTACCCATCCTAGCGCACCTAAAGCGCAGGCAAATTTGTTGTTATTTCTAGGCACACTCCTCCCTGCCGCAAGGTGGGCTTATTTAACTCACACACGCCGGCGGGGCTACAAGCCCCAAAGGCACTTACGTCGCGATGGGCTCCCTTTTCGAGGAGTTCGTACGCAAAGAATGCCCCGCTATGTGGGAACGTTTTCTCGCTTATGAAGCCGAGCATAGGCAGTTAGCTGAACTCGCGTCGCCGCCATTTCCCGCACCGTCTGCGCCCGTTACCCCGTCACCCTCCGCGACCTTAGAAGCCCCCGTCGCGTCGGCATCCGCTAACGCGAACTCGCCCGTAGCGCCTTCCGCGCAACCAAACCCGACCTCTTTTCGCTCCGTCGTACCTGACTCACAATCGGACGGCGGATCGGACATGGAGGTCGAAATGACCCCCGCTGAAAACGCGAACGCCGACGGCTTCACCGTCATTAAATCGCGTAAAAAGGGCAAAAAACGCCCCGATGCCGACAGCGACTCCAAATGCGAGGCCGCCTCAACGATCCGTCCCACCGCGACGCCCGCTAAAAAGGCGGCCGCGGCGGCTAAACCGATGCCCGAATTCGCCTCCGAGCGAAAAATAAAGCCTCCTCCACCCATCATCATTCAGGAGAAGGCTTTGTTCGTGGTTTGAACGCCACAATATCCGCGACCCCCGGTCGAAAAACACGCATATGGGTATCCGCGTATACCTTGACACTACGGACGACTTCCGTCACGTAACTAAGTACTTGCGCGAAAACAAGATAGGTTTCCACACCTACTCTTTGCCCGAAGAAAGAAAACTTCGGGTAGTAATCAAGGGCGTCCCCAAAGAGTCGGATGTCGATAAGGCGAAGACCGACATCCGCACTCAGGGATACCCTGTGCATAACGTACGCCGCCTCAGGCACCCTAGAACCCGTGTCCCTATGGACATGGTGATGGTTGAACTTGACCCTACCCCGGAAGGTAAGGCCATCTTCAACCTGAAGAGGGTCTGTGGGCTCAGCGACCTCGTGATCGAGTCCCCGCGCAGATCGGGAGTTGTGGCGCAGTGCCACAACTGCCAACACTATGGCCACACGGCTAATAATTGTTTCGCTTACCCTAGGTGCGTCAAATGCACCGGTGACCACGGCACGCCCGATTGTACGCGGCCAAAAGATTGCGCAGTTCCACCGGACTGCGTTAACTGTCATACCACCGGCCACCCGGCTAGCTACAGGGGCTGCGCTAAGGCCCCAAAAACTCCCGCGAGAAAAGCTCCGAAAAGCGCGAAATCTACTTTGCCCAAACCCGCGCTCGTGAAATACGTTCCCGCGCCCGTACCCGTCGTAAACGCCTGGGCGAAA